TTCGCTGCGGTAGGGGCTCCCGGGGTTGGGGCTTGCCCTTTGGCTTCTTCCCTGAGCGCCACTCATCAGAGACGCCGGCACGCTGCTGGGCGCCCCTCTTCGGGGGTGAACGCGATTTGGCAGGTTCGGTAAGAGCCCGGTCAGGTTTGGAGCTCCCCTTGTTGCAGGGATGGGTCTGCAGCAGCTCCCTGCTTTCCGTTCTCAAGCGAGCCTCACCTGAACCGTGGCGTGTGACCGCAGCTCTGCGAGTGCCGGGAGCTCCTGTCGCACGGTGGGAGCTCGATCCCGGCACCTCCTGCTCGGGTGGTGGGAGGGGGAGGCGCACGACGTTAGTGGGCACGTGCCGCTGTTTGGTGTTCGTCTGCAGCCCGTGAAAAGCGTTCAGGGAAACTTCTGGATGTTTGATTTAGCAATGTGTGTGTATATAATATGTATTTACACGTTGTCTTTCTGTGGCCAGCCTCGGTGCCCAAGGGCTCCTTTGGGGTGTTTGCTGCTCATCGTCAGGGTGGTGCCGGCCGATGGTGCCGCCGCTTCGTGCTGCAGCCCTGGCGTGTCCTCGCCGGCCGTTTCTCCTCCCTGTATTTGCCGTTACGTGGCGACAGGGTTTTCCCCTTTTCAAGCGGGCGATTAGAAGATAGCGCACACTTTCCAACTGCTGTAACCTTGGCAGAAATGTCAGCGGCTCGGCGAGGAGATGGGCCAATTAGCATATTTCACAGCCCTCTTTCTGCTCCCGAAGTGATGTTTGGAGAGGTTGCTTCATCGCCAGAAGGTCAGTGTCAGGACACACATTGATTTCCACAGCATTAGTGCTGTCAGTGCGCCCTAAATCTGCGTTCCCAGACTGCCCGAACAGAAGAGCTGGGGAGAACAGTTTTGGTTTAGTGGCAGAGGGAAACCTTCCTTCGCTGAGTCTGGGCCTGAGTAGGGCTTATTTATTATCAAGTGTCCAAAAGTGGATGAAAGTGCCTCTGTCCTCTGAAATGCCCTCTGTCCTGAGCAAGACTTTGCAGCCCAGCCCGTGTGCTTTTTAACTTGCCCGTCACAGCCCCCTGCAGACCCTGCTCCAGCCCTTGGGCCAGGATGTGCCAGCACAGACCCGCGACAGGGTCTGGGCTCCAGTTGTTTGCACTGACCTTAAACAGGGGTCGTCTTCGTGGAAAGGGCTGTGACTGCCTGTTGTCTGACAGAGCCGAGTATTTTTATACCTCCCTTCCTCAGAGCTTGTCTCTTTGCATTACTGCCGGAAAAAGATAGCTACAGAGATATTAAAATAGCCAGAGGAAAGGAGGGGGTGGGTCACTCCCAATTTGCAGCTTTACTTTCAGGCCTCTCGACTCAATTATCTGGCAAATTGGGCTCCGAGGAAAACCAACACGAGCTACCACCGGGTATCAGCGAGCAGCGCGGGCGAGCT